CCACCCTGCCTGCCCCCCCGCTCCCCCCTCCCCGTACCCTTGCTGTCAGAGGGGCTGTGCCTGCCCCAGAAGGGCTCATCTGACCCCCAGGGTCTCTCCCGACGCAGATGGTGCTGCGCGGTGCCGAGACAGAGGGCTGTGTGATTGTGTCTGCTGCAAAGGCCCAGCTTCTGCAGTGCCAGCACCACCCTGCCTGGTACGGGGACACGTTGAAGCAGAAGACATCCTGGACTTGCTTGCTGGATGGCATGCAGTACTTTGCCACAACGGAGAGTGGCCCCACCGAGAGGGAGCACGGGCAGCTCTGGCTGGAGGTGGGCATCTAGGGGGGCCTGTGGTGGGTGAGCTGTGTTGGGGGCAGGCAGCACTGTCAGTGCCCTGGCCAAGGCAGGGAGAGCAGGGACAGCCAGCGGTGCCTCCTTGCCTCCCCAGGTGAAAAATATTGAGGAGCATCGGCAACGGAGCCTGGACTCAGTGCAGGAGCTGATGGAGAGCGGGCAGGCGGTGGGGGGCATGGTCAGCACCACCACAGGTACTGCCCGCAGAGCGGGCTGCCGTGCCTACCCCAGTCCCACTCGCGTGGGACCCTAAGGCTGGTAAAGCTGAGAACGCCTGGCCTGTCCCTGGATGGCTCCAGGAGCTGGCTGATGCTCTGAGCCCTGCGCTGTGGGGTCCTCAACGTGGGAGGACATGATGCTCTGACTGTGATCCCTCTGCCTGTCCCCAGACTGGAACCAGCCCTCAGAAGCCCAGCAGACCCAGCAGGTGCAGAGGATCATCTCTCGCTGCAGCTGCCGCATGTACTATATCAGCTACAGCCATGACATCGACCCTGAGCTGGCCACGCAGATAAAGCCCCCCGAGACTCCCGCCAACCAGGAGAAGGAGGATCTGCTGAAGAAACAGGAGGGTGGGTACATCCAGGCAGTGTCTCGAGGGGTAGAGCTCTGGGCTTACTCACAGGTGTCGGCTAAGTCCAGAGGCAGTCTGTCTTGGCCCTGCTGGGGTCAGAGGGGTGCATACCAGAGGGGTCCTCAGCCATGTGGCCGTGCACCAGACCATGCTGGACATGCTGTGCCTGCTGAAGCCAGTGTGACCACCTTGGCTCATTCCCCATCCCTCTCCATCTCTTGTTGGCCACCAAATGCATCCTGTTTCTGGCCATGCTGAGGTCCCACTTGCCCTTTGTGTGTCCCTGCAGGAGCTGTGGATACGTTCACGCTGATCCACCACGACCTGGAGATCTCCACCAACCCCGCGCAGTATGCCATGATCCTTGACATAGTCAACAACCTGCTGCTGCACGTGGAACCCAAACGCAAGGTACCCACGAGGCTTCAGGTCACCGTGTCCCTCACTGCACCCAGGGCAATCCTAACCTTCTGCTGTCCCCATGTCCAGGAGCACAGCGAGAAGAAACAGCGAGTCCGTTTCCAGCTGGAAATCTCCAGCAACCCTGAGGAACAGCGCAGCAGTATCCTACACCTGCAAGAGGCCGTGAGGCAGCACGTTGCCCAGATCCGGCAGCTGGAGAAGCAGATGTACTCCAATGTGAAGGTGAGCCTGCATCCAGACAGGGCCTGGCTCCCCAGGGTCCTTGCTTTGGGGCAGAGGGTGCTGAGGGTTGTCTGTCCTTCAGTCCCTGCAGGATGACAGCAAAAACGAGAGTCTGCTCGACCTCAACCACAGGCTGCAGCAGCAGCTGAGCCAGGAGAAAGCTGACCTGCAGCTGGAGAGCGAGGAGCTGAACATACTGATCAGGTAGGGACCATCTCTGGCTCCCCCAGCATTATGTCCCCCTTACTCCAGGGCTCCCACATCCCAGCGTTACCCTCTCTGCTGCAGGTGCTTCAAGGACTTCCAGCTGCAGCGAGCCAACAAGATGGAGCTGCGAAAGCAGCCGGAGGACGTGAGCGTGGCACGGCGGACTGAGTTCTATTTCGCCCAGGCACGCTGGCGCCTGACCGAGGAGGATGGGCAGCTGGGCATAGCCGAGCTGGAGCTCCAGCGCTTCCTCTACAGCAAGGTACCGAGTCGGCCGGTGGCACCGGCAGCCTCCAAGCCAGGGCCCGGGATGTGCGGGGCTGACGGGTCTGTGTGCACAGGTCAACAAGTCTGACGACACGGCCGAGCATCTGCTGGAACTGGGCTGGGTCACGATGAACAACCTCCTGCCCAACGCTGTGTACAAGGCAAGTGGCAGCCTGAGGGAGCAGCCCTGCATCCTGGGGACCCATGGGTGGCCTGGCCAGGGTGGTCTGTCTTCACCCCAGCCACCCGACCTCTTCCCTGCAGGTGGTGCTGCGTCCCCAGAGCTCCTGCCAGTCTGGACGGCAGCTGGCACTGAGGATTTTCAGCAAGGTCCGGCCGCCCGTGGGAGGCATCTCCATCAAGGAGCACTTTGAGGTGCCAGGGCCGGACTGGGAGGTGGCAGGGTCCCCGTGGGGCACAGGCAGCATGTGCCTGGCTCTGACGTGCCTCTCTTCCCCGCAGGTGAACGTGGTACCCCTCACCATCCAGCTCACCCACCAGTTCTTCCACAGGATGATGGGTTTCTTCTTCCCTGGCCGCAACGTGGAGGAAGAGGAGGTGGGGGATGAGGAAGACAAGTCCAAGCTGGTGACGACAGGTGAGAGGCTCATGGTCATCGTCCTCCCTGGCACCCGAGTGATGTCCTTGAGCAGTTCTGGCTGTGTGTCCAGGATATGTTTGTGGGCAGCTGCCGGTGGGCCACGTGTCAAGGAACAGGGACTCGTGGTGTCACCCCTGTGGGCAGGGAGCCGATGGGGAAAGCAGCGAAGCTGGGAGGGGTCTGGGTCACGGCGAAGCCCCAGCCGGACACCAGCCACCGCCTCCCACCCTGTTTGCCCCAGGGATCCCCGTGGTGAAGCCGCGGCAGCTGATCGTGGCCGATGACTCACTGGGCCCAGGGAAAGGAGTTGCTCAGGGACTGAATCGCACATCAGGGGTCAGAAGATCATTCCGAAAAGCGCCGGAGGTACCTGCTTCTGCCTTGAGGGGGGAATTTGGGAGAGCCCTGCTGTGGACCCAGTCTGTTTTCCCTCAGCTGCAGGGCTGCGCAGCCATGTCCTCCCCCACTTGCCTATCTGTTTTCTCCTGCTCCCTCCCACCATGAGGATTCGCATCCTTTACAACCAAGCACCTGCACGCTTGATGTGATCCCTGCAGCATCTCATTTTTCTGACACCATGCCAGAGCAGCTCTCACCTCTCCCCGGTGAAGCAATGCCATGGCCTAGTGCCCAACTGTCCCTTCCCCGCTGGTTCCTGGCTGTGTCCCCTCTCCTTCCCTTCTGCTCTGTCCCCAGCATCCTGTGGATGACATCGACAAGATGAAGGAGCGCGCGGCCATGAACAACTCCTTCATCTATATCAAGATCCCGCAGGTGCCGCTCTGCGTCAGCTACAAGGTGTGGGGCCGGCGGGAGGGAGCGTGCTGGGGAGGGGGCACAACCCCTCCAGCTGGGAGTGGCCTGGGGCATCGTCCCACTCTGCCTGGCACTTCTGTCACCCAGGGCGAGAAGAATAGCGTGGACTGGGGCGACCTAAACCTGGTGCTGCCATGCCTGGAGTACCACAACAACACGTGGACGTGGCTGGACTTTGCCATGGCGGTGAAGAGGGACAGCCGCAAAGCCTTGGTGGCACAGGTACGTGGGACCCCATCCCGCAGTGCCTCCGTCCCCGCTCACCGGGAGCTGCTGGAGCCGCTGTGCCCAGGACGGAGGTGGTAACCCCACGGCGGGTGGCA